GGTGTGACCCATGAGGAGTAGAGGGGGCAATTGCAACCTGTGGGTGAGGTGGGGTGGCAGGCATAACCCATGCATGGGGTGGGGTGGGGTGAGGGAGGCAGGTTGGACCCATGGGTAGGGTGGGGTGGGGGAGATGTAACCTGTGGGTGGGGGGTGGTAGGCATGACCCATGAAGAAGAGGGAGGCGCAACCCGTGGGTGGAGTGGGGTCTCTCCCCCTACACCCCCAGTCCTCCCCACACCAGGACTTACTCAGCTCCAGCAGTGGCAAATCCTGATAAAAGCAGCTTTATCTAGAGCAGCTTGCAGGATGAGGGTTGAGAGCACTGGCTGGGGGGAGAGCAAGGGACCAAGGGGGCAATAAATAGACCAGGGTGGGGGGAGGGGAGGAGTGAAAAGATCAGCCCTGGGGCAAGTGACTGGGTTTTCCCAGCCCTGGGGCTGCGCAAGGGAAGTGTACTGAAGTTCCATGCACCTGTTTGACCTAAACTGGAGTAAGTCTGATACGACATAGACCCAGGTTTATCTTAAACCGGGTTCTGCAATTTTTAGACCAGTTTGTATGTGTGAACTTCTGTTCAGTTACAGGTTTAGATTGATTGCCAGTCACTGAGACTGGATCTGTAAGTGTGAGGTCAGCACTGGGACCAGCTAAGTTTAAACTGAACCCAATTTAACCTCCCGAATGTTTGTTCTGAGCCCAAGTGTCCAGAGGGGGTGTGGTTAGTGAAACACAGGTACCTCTTATGAATATGAGAGACCTCCATGCTTGGACCTCTGACAATCATGTACATATGGTGTAAGAGTCTAATTGTATTAAGGAAGCATTAGCATCACCTTATTAAAAGAGCAATGTAATTTACTTAGATATAACTTGTTTGCGTAGCTTGTACTTAGTTGAGGTCTTGAGACAGAATCTTTTACTTAGGCAGTCATGGTCTTTATAATGCCAGAGCAAAAGTTGTCCCGTAAACTAAAGAAAGATTATTGAAAAATGTTCATCTTGGACAAATCAGCAAAACACTTCATTCTATATTCATGCACCCACTGAACTGTAATGCCTGAACAGATAGTGGGACATTTCAGCAGTCACCAGCTTTCTTACTCCTCCTTTTGTTCAATATCACACAAATTCAGTGTTCATCGCATGATCTCTTTCAAAATACAAATTGAACGGCATAAAAATAAGCTGTATTGTGTATGCATACAGTATTGTAAATTATTATTCACAATTATTATAAATGCATATATCTGAAAAAGCTATCCAAATGCCCCACAGTAACCTGCTACAATACAAAACAACCCCCCACCCCTGTGATCACACAGCTCTGGTGGTCACCTACCAGGCCACACTTGAACTAATCAGAAGAACTATCAGATTCCATCGTTTCTTCATATGCCTTTCCCAAAATGTGATATACCTGATCCAATGCACCAAATGCCCTCATGGGAACTAGGTGCATGGAACTAAACAGCAGCTACGTACCAGAATGACCTTTCACAGAGAAAAAGTACAAAGGACAGACACGCAAACACCGTCAGGGGCACATTTCTCACAGAGCAGTGACTCCCTCTCTGATGTCACTATTCTCATGCTGAAGGGAAATCTATAAAGCCTTTTAAAGGCAAACTTGGGAACAAAATTTTGTAAGATGTCTGGACACTAAGTACCAAGGACTTAATATGGACATTGGTTTTTTGGCACATTATAAACTTACCGGTTCCTGAGTTTCTTCCATAGTTGAAAGGTGAGAATAACCCTCCTCTCTGTACCTTGATCTCCCAGTAATCAGCGTTTTTTTTCCTGCTAACTGTTTGCCTGCTACTCCTGGAAATTTCTCTACCCCCTCTCCCAACTGCTTTTTACTATGCTGTACTAGCTTTTACTGATCAGACCTGATGAAGAACGTCTTGCATTCAAAGCATGTCTAACTGTATCCTAACTATGCAGTTGATCCAATAAAAGATATTGCCCTAAGAAATCCCTGCCTCTTACATATTATAAACACAAGTCTAAAATGTACTTGTATTTGTCTCATCACTGGGTATTTTTACTAGCATAGGTAGCAATGAGTGACATCTGTTGGATAAATGTTTCCTATTATCAGGATTTTCTCTGAGATGTGAAATGTCTATTAAAAGCTACCTTTATGCTTCTGTTATCCTCTACAGGATTAGGGTGAGGATGATATAATTAATTCTCATTCCAGTTTAATCTGTTAGTTGTGTGGTGGACATTTCTTCCAGCACTGACACCTTTAGCGCTGGAACTTTAGATCCAATCATCCTTGAACTTTGGAACTAAATCCAAACCCAAACTCCTACCTCTGTTAAGCTGTGCATTTCAATTAAACATACACACACATGTTAAGATGCAACCTTTAAATGTGCCTATTGTAGTACCTCATGGGGAGATAGTATTCCAGTGTTTTGTGCCTGCATTCTCCTAGATGCCCTATTCCTCTGGTGACCTGATATGTCATAGGACTCTCTTCCTGCAGGGTGTCAGCTAAACTGCAGAGAAGACTACAGAGCATCATGAAAGTGGCAGTTGAGACAGGAAGCCCAACCATGAAGGAGAACAAAGACATAAGATTCCTATATGTTGACTTGGACTGACTGAATCTGAAGCAAAACATTCCATTCCAAGGGAAAAAGTTGAACATTTTTGGCAAAAATAAAAAACATTCTGTGAAAAGTTTAGGAGAAATGACATTTTCTACCAAAAAAGGTTTTTTTCTTGAAAAGTTCTGAGTGGCTCTGTATCTTTTTGAAAAGTATGCATGTCTACCCAGTGCAAGTTAGTTGTGTGCATGTCAGCCCCTGAACTGGAAGTGGCATAACCATATTAGTTACAGTGCTACACCCAGATAAATCATCATCACCCTTCATCTCAGCAGAGCTACTTCTTCTGGATCCAACACCATATAAACATGGCTGGACTGCTTCTGGTTCCATAGCTAGCATATGCAGAACTATGTGGGGTTTCTTTTCCCAGCACTGCCTTGCACAGTGTAGATATGTTTGTAGATGCACAAGAATTAAACATGAATATGTTAGTGGTTTCTACTTATACACCACTCTTCTCTCACATTGATGTTAGTTCTTATGGAAGTCGCACTATTTTGTGATGACAACATGATTTTTACTTAAAGATTTCATAGACATTAGGGCTGGAAGGGACCTCAGAAGATCGAGTCTAGCCCCTTGCCCTAAGGGCAGGAAGTCAACTGGGTTAAAGGATCCCAGCAAGATAAGCATCCAAACGTTTCTTAAAAGAATCCAGAGTAGGTGCTTGCACCACATCTGGAGGGAGTCTATTCCAGAGTCTCCTCCTTAACTATTGATAATAGGCGTGACAATATCCAAATAAATATATAGCCTTGCTATGTTGCCACACCTCGATGACTGAATTCTCCATTATGATGCATTAGCTCTATTGTGAATACCATGGGAATGCACATTCCCTTTTAGTTATTTCAGCAGTACTGGATAGTTCACATATAAAAGCCCCTGAATGCAACAATGGTAGAAACTCTTTTGAGTAATGAGAGATAAAGGATATGAGTTTCTGAGCAGCAACAGGATACCTCAAAATGTTCATCCTTCAGGTTCAGTTTAGGTAAACACCCCATCATTAAAGTACTTATTTATAAGGCCTGCACTTTTCAAGGGCTTAATTTTGAATTCTCTGTGTGCTCAGAACTTCTATTCATCAAGTCAATGGGACTTCTGAATACACAAGGCTGTGCAAATCTGGGATCCAAGTTTCTGAAACTGGCTAGAAATATCAAAGGGAAATTGGGCCTCTGCCAAGATGTTAAAGAGTGCCTTCTTTTCAGTTGGACTACAGATGATTTCCCAATGCTGTGAAGGGCTCAGCTCTTGTCAAGAGATGCTTAAGGACCCTCAATGCCTATCAAATTAATATGACAGTTGAGGCTACCCTGCCTCTTGGGAGATGTTCACTACTTTTCTGTACTAGGCCCTGAGAGAAAAGGTTTGTTTTTTTCTTGTAGTTTCTGAGATCAGCAGATCAAGCAGCACACCGTTTCATTCCTTTGTTGATCTGCTTAATTTTTTCAGCTACAATTTAAAAATATTGTTTGAAAGTAAATACAACTCCCTGAAAGCCTGTGGAGGTTAAAGATTACCTACATTTCCAAGTTCAGCCCAGTAGCCCTTCTGTCTCTTATCTACCCTGACTTCCTTAAGCGCAGCTGATATACTTTGTCACTCATCACTTCATTAACAAACTCAACCTGGGAGGGAGACATGCATTATTACCAAATATGTATTCTACTTGCATTCACCTGTCTCTAATCATTCAACAGAAATTTGTGTCCATGTGTTACCACATGGTTACTACCTAGACCCAACCCTATTCCAATAGTGAAAATGCAGTTCTATTGACTTCAAAAAGAGTAAAATTATTCACAAGGTCTCCAGGTAGCAATTCCATTACTATGCTTTTTAAAGTTCGGGGGGGGGTTGTTGTTCGTTTTTACTTTTCTTGGCTGTGGCACTAGAGAAGAATTATACTACGCTACCAAATATTTATATTGTAGCTCTTTCCACATGGACTAAGTGGTAACTAGCTGCTTTATAACTCAAAGATTTTAACAAATCTACATTTTATTTTAATGAAATTCATCTGACATTATATTAGAATTATTTCTGGTTGCATACAGGACATTAAGTTCATTTTTTATTTACATTGTCTTTAAAAATCAATACAAGAAAATAAGTAAATCATGCATATATATGTGCACACAAGGAATATATTCAATAAAATTATGTATATCTATGTTAATAATTATTTCTAGTTAGTAATATTTAAGTTTGCCTATTATTACAGCATATATACCATGGGCTTATTGGCACTATTTTATCTATAGTACTATATATTCCCTCAGTTCTGTTTCCTGTTGATAAAGTTGATAAAAGCAAAAAAGGGAGTTATGCCTCCAATATGCTCTTCTAAATAAAACATGTTTGATATTGGAAAGTTATTAGCAGAGCCATAGGTTTAACTAACAAACACTGCACAAATTCAAGCATTTATCTACTCAAAGTTAGTAGCCATGAAGCTGCAAAGACAAAGCATGTTACTTACAGTCAACTGGTGAGAATGCTCCACCTTCTCCTTCCTCTTCTCTTCTTTTTCCCTCACCTCCTCTCTCTTTGCTTCTCTGTGACAGTTATAAAGCACAGGAGAAGCAGTTGCCAGTTTATATGGGCAGAGTATTTACGTCCCCTTAGCCTATCAGAGCCAAGTGCTTTGCATCTGACATTCAGAGCAGCATCCCCACTCCACCAGCTCATACATCCCACCCCCCTGCATAGAGGTAGGAAAAAAGTAATCTATCTAAAAACAAAACCAGCGTAGCTGAGGAACAAGAGTCAACCAAATCCAGAATTTAACAAAGCACACTTTAATTAGTTTACATGACTAATCACATTTTATTGCATGTTAGTATGGACATGCATTCAAACACATGCACACATATGTGTGTGTTTGAGCGCACACACTCACACACAGTATGCAAAAGTTTTCTGTAGTAACTTCCCCAATCTCTGTAGTAAGGGGAAGCTTTTGGATTGCTTACATAGAAGACTAATACCCCTGTGTGGGCAGGCAGGCAGGCAAAGATACAATAGTACTAAAGTGACTGTAAGCTATAAAGCTATGTACACATGGGATCAACCCCAATATATGTGTCTATAGATTTTCTCCACTATTTCTCTGCATTTGTTTTATACCATACTTGAAAGCTATAACAGGTTTTCAAGCAAAGATACTCCTTTATTTTCCCTCAGGGTTTATTTCCTGTAGAGTTGTCTCTTTTACAGAAACAGTGTTTCTTTAGACCCAGTAGGCTGTGTTCAAGGAAGCTGTGAACAGATCACAGTACTGAACAGCTCATTGTTAGGTAAAGGACCATGAAGATACTTTGTTTAGCACAGCTAGTTCCCTTATTGTTGAATTTGGTGCATTTCCATTGCAGTCTTTCTATAAACTGCACAAATAGTAAAAAATGTTTTTTTTAAAAAGGTAAAACATGACTTGAGAGTTCATTACACTTTTAAAGGGACTATCTTTAGTTGTAATACCTGTATCTCAGTGACAACACTGGTATCATGGTGAAACACTTTCTTATGGGACAACATCTGGTGGCCGCCTATAAACTTGCCAAGGGGCACCAGCAGGCAGTGGGAGAGTCCCTGTTCCCCCGAGCGCTACTGGGGGTAACAAAGAACAACAGCCATAAGTTGACAGAGTAGATTCAGACTAGACATCAGGAGGCACTACTTCACTGTCAGGGCAGCTAGGAGCCGGACCCAACTTCCAAGGGAAGTGGTGTTCGCCCCTACCCTGGGGGTCTTTAAAAGGAGGCTAGACAGCCACCTAGCTGGGGGCATTTGACTCCAGCAATCTTTCCTGCCCATGGCAGGGGGTCGGACTAGATGATCTGCTTAGGTCCCTTCTGACCTAGATGATCTGCTTAGGTCCCTTCCAACATAGGGACAACAGGGCAGACCCTACAATGAGAGACTGCAGGACCTGAACCTGTTCAGCCTTCACAAGAGAAGGCTGAGGGGGGACCTGGTGACCATCTATAAACTCACTAGGGGGGACCAGAAGGGTTTGGGAGAGACCTTGTTTCCCCTAGCACCCCCTGGCATAACAAGGAATAACGGCCACAAGTTGTTGGAGAGTAGGTTTAGATTAGACATCCGTAAGAACTACTTCACAGTCAGGGTGGCTGGGATCGAGAACCAACTTCCAAGGGAAGTGGTACTGGCTCCTACCGTGGGGGTCTTTAAGAAGAGGCTTGATGCCTACCTGGCTGGAGTCATTTGAGCCCAGTTTTTCTCCTGCCCAGGCGGGGGTTCAGACTTGAAGATCTACAAGGTCCCTTCTGACTCTGCTTCTGTGATTCTATGACCCTACCAACTATGAAACATCTACAAACAAGCATGTGGAGTTTGCTTTAGCAATTGTTTTTTTCATTTTATTTTGGAATATGTTTTGGATTTTTGGGATCTCTGATATGATTTTTACATTTGTACCTCACAAACCTATGTATCTGGTACCCAGAAATTCTGTAGAAAGAGGACATTTTCATTGCAAAACTGTTCCAGAGTCAATGGGATTAGACCTGTTTGTTCCAGTGTGACTTGTAAAGGCTTTCAAGATTACTTAATTATATTCAACATGCACAATGTTTTGTTCTGGATTTCAACATTCTCTAAGAGCACTGGAAATCCAAATGCAGCCTCCTTGCTCAGGAGAAGCAGAAAACCAAGATGTCTATAGCAAATGCAGGCAGGCTGAGCAGTCTACTTCAACTCTTTTCATTAAGTCACTTGTAAAAGGTAAACGAACTTCATAAGAGGTGAATTTTCATTGCACTATTAAAATCACTGAAGCTGTCAAGGTAGACACAAAAACATTATATGTTGAGACCCTTTAACTTGCCAGATGCCCTTCAATTTGACTTTTACAACACAGTATGCCAAAGTTTCTTATATCAACTCAATGAAATATTATTTATTACATGCAACAGAGGAAACAGGATGTGGAGAATAGGATGTGCAATGAGGTAGATGGACAAAAGGGAATATAAACTATCCTGACAGACTGGTACATGTCAAAATCTAAACATGATTGCATTGGTCTTCTCAAATCCCCTCATAACTCTAAATGTTCCCTAGGATTTTTCTGTACCTTCCTGTGTACACATCACCTGCTCTCATTCTCCTAATCAGCTATTGACAGTACCTATGAATAAGCCTGCTTACCAGAGATTTGCTGTGTCAGTCACAGCCCAACAGACTGAATTCTCCATTGCAATATGCCACGACAAAGCAAGTTTATATAAGTCACCTTAGGATACTGGTTATTTCACAAAACATCCCCTGCTGCCAAAATATGATGGGGCTGAAGAACTTACCTTATCATATATACAGAATGTATATAAGAAGGGATGGGCAAAATTTGCTTCAAATTTCAGGCTAAGTTTTAGTAAGCTACTGACTTACAGTTTAGGAAGATGTATCAGGACATTTCTTATCTGTGGGCAAGATATATTCCACAAAGCAAATATGAAGGTTTTTATTCACCAGCTACGTAACATTTTCTACTGTTGTGAACACCTGCTATTAGTGCAGCATCTTAAACAGTTACATCTTCTGGTTACCAAGGTTTTTAACGTAGATAGGACACATACAATGGCATAACTAGGAGTGGGTGACTTGCCTACCAGCCCTATGTACTGAGTTAGAAGGGGCACCAGAATGGCAGCGGCTGCTGCCGGCGATACAACACCCCACTTTATTCCTTCTGCTGTTGCCTCTCTGGCTGCAGATCCTGCGTATTACACCTCTGGACACATGTGTGTGTTTCTATATTAAGATAGAGATGCCCACAAATCAATACATAAGCTGCATACATTAGATATAGTAACAGAACCTAAGACAGTACACAGATATCAATCACCGAAGACAGTATTGGCTCAAATCATTGTGATAACCTTATAGTTTTGTTATTGATAGGCTAGACCAATTTGCTTTTTATCCCTCCACCTAGTTAATGTGGAATCAAATACAAATGAAAGGCTGGGGGCTAGGCATGGCCCTCAGGGACATCATGGCATATTTGCCACTGAATTCAGCAGCAAGCAGGAGAGGCTCTTGGTTTGCTGTCATTTCCATCATAAGGTAAAATTCCCACTGAAGGCAAGGGACATTTTGCTAGCATAAGTTTTGCAGGATCAGGACCTGTCCTAGACGATCTGTCTGGAAGAGAGAGACAAATAGGGTGGAATTTTCAATGGACATAATGGGACAGATTCTGCTCAACGTCCATACCCATTGTCAGAGGAGCCTAGTATCTCACAACTGTGTTGGTTCGTTGTGTTGGCCTAGTCAGTATTCTATATGAAGTCACTTCATTTAGCTTTTCTTTTCAGTAGCGAGCTCTTAAATTTATCTCATTTTCCATAGGGGAGGGAAGAAAATCTTGCTTGATTTTGTTGAACAGCATTCATAGGAATGCATGGGAGTTTTTCTTATGAAGGCACCACAAGAAAGAACTTTTGTGCTTTTATTTTTGAAAGGGTCTTTGTCACTGTCAAAACTGCTGCATGTGTCTATACATATATACCAATACATAAACCATATAAATGACATAAACCACTACAGCTGCTGTGTCCCTTAAATGAACAAATAAATGAAAAATAAAAGATATGCACTAAACTGTGCTATATGAAAAGCAGAAGTGGTTTATGCCTCCTATTTGATCTTCAGAAATAAAACAAGTTTGATGTTGAAAGCTATTAGCACAGCCTCAGGTCTAAGCCATAAAATGTTGTATTAATCCAAGCTCTTATCTATATCAAGTTAGTAACTGCAGCTACAAAGACAAAGCATACTACTTACAACCAGTTGGTGAGAATGGTCCTTCCCTTCCTTCTTGTTCTCTTATTTCTCCCTTGCCTCCTCTCTCTTTGCTTTTCTGTGACAGTTATAAAACACAGAGGATGCAGTTGCCATTTTATATGGGCAGAGTTTCTATGGCTGTATGAAATGGCTGTATTTCGATTCAGTTTCAGATTTGGCCGTTTCAGAGTACAGTAATTCATTTCAGTGTTTTGGATCACTGTCCTGTTTTGTTTTGCCTGAATCTGTTTTGGAGATACGGCTCTGCCAAATCTCTTCCTCATCTGCTTCGAATGGCTTGCAAGCGTCACACAGCCCTACTGCCCAGCCAGGCGGGGCTTGGGGCCCCAGCAGAGAGCAGAATGGGACCATGGGTCCATGGGTGGCTCGTCCAGGGGAGGGGGAGGTCTGCTGCCCTCCATGCAAGACAGGAGACCCCTGCGCAGATCTCTGTTCCCTGTCACGCCAGGTCATGGGGCAGGGAAGCAGTGCAGAGTGGTGAGCAAGCCTGCTGGTCCCTGCCATGTGACTTGGCTCTTCAGGGAGCAGAGATCCACACCAGGGGTCTCCTTGCCACTGCTGCCCCAGCAACGTGGGGCTGCCTAGGATGGGCAGTGGTGGCAAGGAGACCCCAGCATGGGTCTCTGTTTACTGCAGAGCCAGGTGGCATGGCAGGGATCAGCACTGCCCTCCTGTGCGACCTGGCTCTGCACTAGGGTCTCCTCCCCGCTGCTGCCCACCCTGCACTGCCCTGGATCTCTGCTCTCTGCA